ACCATCGGCGTAGGGGATTTAAAATTTAGGGGGGCTGCAAATTTTCTGCCCGAGTGATAGAGGAAGAGAAATTTGACCTGCCAGAAAATTTGTGATTAATGCCACCAGTGGCGTAGATAGAGGGGGTCGGGGGGGGGGGGGGCGAAAAACCCACCTATAAGGCTAAACTGCCATTTTGTCGGAAAATTTCTGCACTTGTCGGAAAAATAACGATGGTTTTCTGTTTCGTTTAGTTCTAGTGGCCTTATGTTATGTTCAAAATAATAAAAAATGAGAATTAGTGTCAATCTTTTGTCGGGATATCTTCATTTCTCGCCCCCTCTATGAATTTTCCTATCTACGCCCCTGCCCAAAATTGCCCGAATTCAACCAGCATTTACCGCAGCCCCCCCAGCCCCCCTGGCTCCTACGCCTGTGATTCACACACAATCTTGCCTGCTCCTCCCAACATCTCTTACGCACCTCTTTCCTGCAGGCTTATCCTCCTTCTTCTTCTCCTTCTTTTCTTTCGTCTTCTTCTCTTTATCCTTATCCTTATCCTTATCTCTCTTGACCCTCCCGAAGAACCCACCCATCTTCTTGCCATCAGACGTCGAGGGGCCGGCCGTAGGAGGCGGTGGGGGGGCCGTGGATTTCTTTTTGTTCCGAACGGCGCCGCCCAGGGAAGTCATGGACCCCTGGTTGTCGAACTGAGTGAGAGAAAACGGGAATTAGAGAGTGGGAAGAGAATTTGTGTGTGTTTATTTGTTTGTGTCTCTTTATTTATTAGTTTGTGTGTGTCTTTCGATATTTGTTTGCTTGTGTGTCTTTATTCATTTGTTTGTGTGTTTATTTCTTTGTTTGTTTCTGTGTTTATTTATTTGTTTGTTTGTGTGTCTTTATTTATTTGTTTGCTTGTGTGTCTTTATTTATTTGTTTGTTTGTGTGTGTTCATTTATTTGTTTGCTTGTGTGTGTATTTATTTGTTTGTGTGTTTATTAATTTGTTTGTTTGTGTGTTTCTTTGTTTGTGTGTGTGTGTGTGTATTTGTGTGTGTGAGTGAGTGAGTGAGTGATAGAAAACGGTCATAGGGAATTGCAATACATGTGGACGAATAAGTGAAAGAAAACGGGAATTAGAGAGTGAGAAGAGATGAGAGAAAATGAAGAAAACGGGATACAAGGCGTTGCAAGAAATGTGAACGAATTTGAAGAAAACGGGAAGTAATGAATGAAAAGAAATCGGAAATCAGGAGATAGCAAGAAAATGGGAATCAACAACTGCAACTTAAAGATGGGAAACGAAAAGTACTCAACAAGTGGAAGAAAATTGTAGTACGAATGGTAGAAAAAAGGAATTACTGAGGGAGAAACTGTAAATGAATAAGGGAAAGAAAACAGGCATTGAAGAGTGGTGATGCATGGGGACTGATAAAGGGGAGGAAATGGTAATTACTGAATAGAAGAATTGATAAAAAAAAAAAACATGAATCCACCCAATGTCATCGGGTTTATTTACTGTCCCCATTAGATTTTAGTGAGTTTTGTTACATACAGATGGCTCCACGTGTGGTAAACATCAAGGACTTTATCAATTGGCACTAAAGACCGATCCTGATTTCCCCATTCCTTGAATTAGCGGGAAAATGCGTTTTTCTTTCCAATGCTATTAATATTGACATTTGTTTATTTGTTTTCATTATTATTGATATTATGATTAGTATTTTTTTTATCAAAATATCAATAACATCAATTAAAATAAAATAATAGAAGTGAAGTTTTTAAAAAAAATGAAGAAAAAGGGTAAACAGATGAGATAGGTAAGACTAATAGCTGACTCCTTGGTGACTAAGCACTTGTAGAGCCATCTATGTGTAAAGACAATAAATAAACTTCTTATTACAGCTTGCATGGCATTGTAGTCTTGCCACCCGCTGACATTAGGTTAATAAACAAAGTAAAAGGGGAAATACGGTTAGAAAAGAACGATTTGAGAGAGAAAGTGAGAGAGAAAGAGAGAGAGAGGGAGAGGAAAGAGGCAGAGACATATGTAAATGCAACAAGAATTCACACACACACACACACACACATACACACACACACACACACACACATACACACACACACACACACACACACACATACATACACACACACACACACACACACACACACACACACACACACACACACACACACACACACACACACATAAACACAAACACACACAAACACAACCACACACACACAGAAAAGAAGAAGGAAATAAATTACTTCAGATCCCAGGGGTCACGCCAACAGAAATCGTGGACGAGATTGAGAGTAATTATTGAAGTGACTGAGTCGGTCCCCCTTTTAGCCTCGAGTGAATAGGCCTACCTTGCCTTATTAGGGTCAAGGGACTAAGTGGTGAGGCATATTAGTCTCAATATCGAAGGAGGATAAGAAATCTACATTATCAATGAAACTAATAAGGATCATAAGTATGATGATGATGATAATAACAATAACAATAACAATAATAATAATAATAATAATAATAATAATAATAATAATAATAATGATAATGACAATCCTAATTATAATGATAATAATGATAATGATATTAATAATGATAATAATAATGATGATAATGATAATGATGAAGATTATAATTATTATAATAATAATAATAATAATAACAATAATATTAACAACAATAACAATAGTAATGATATTAATATTAGTATGATTCATTCAATAACAATAACAGAACAGCACCACTAACAATAATGATAATATAATAATAATTATTTTTATTATTATTATTATCATCATAAAAATACGAACATAACTAATGTTAATGATAACAACAATAACGACACTGATTTTACTAGCAATAAATACAAAGAGAAAAATAGTAATAAAAAAAACAGCTACACAAACAATTACAACTACAATAGCTACAATTATTTAAAAAAAAAACACAACAGTAACTAAACAACAACTACAACTACAACGCCAACAACTCCACCACGCCCCCAACCACAGCATTTAAAACAAGTACTCACGTCTTCAATTTCAAACACATCATCTAGCGGGTCGATGAAATCCTGGGGGGGAGGGGACGGGCTGCATACAACCCTCACTTCCGGTTCGTAACTACTGTACTCCGCTGACGTGTGACCTGTGGGTAGCCGGCTGTCAGTTTTTTGCAATTGCAGGGAGGAAGAGGAAGGGGAAGAGGGTAATGCAACAGAAAAAATGAATGCATTATGTTGGGATATGAAGGGGATGAGCCTAGGGGGGGATGGGTGGGGGGGTGGGTAGGGAAGGGTTAAGGTGAAGGTAAATAGTTAGGATTGAGGTTATTAGGTCAATAGTGTTCAGAGGGTACTTATGGGTGGTTAGGATGAATGGTGTGGGTCTGTTGTGCTCCTTAAAGTAGGGTTTATGCTGGTGGGTCGTTTGGGTCGTTTGGGTCGTTAAGGTGAATCGGTAAGTTATTGTGCTCTATAGAGGGAAGAGATTTGATTTGATTTGTTATGCTCTATAAAGTTGGGTTATGTTGGTGGATGTTTATAGTGCATGTGTAAGCCTATTGTGCTGTATAAAGTAAGGTTATTTTGGGGGGTTGTAGTGAATTCGTCGCGTCCTGTGCACTATAACGTGGGTGGTTAAGGTAAATTTGTTGTTCATTGTGCTCTAAAATAAGATTATACCACTCATGAACGTGCAGGTTAAATTACTACTTATCGGTTAAATGATAATAATATTCATATGGTTATGCATGCATGTTTCTGTTTTGCATGAAGGGTTAGATGACAGATACTTTTTTCACATCATGCAAGATTTAGTTTTTGCAGTTCAACTCGATATCAAATCACGCCTCGTCATTCAGATAATTAGCTTATCCAATGAACACAATCATCATAATCACCTAATCATATTTGGATAATGAATCATGATGGGCATTTTATAAATTCTAAAAAAAAAAAAAAAAAAAAAAAAAAAAAAAAAATAGAAAGCCATGAATTATGTAGTCGATTTTTTTTGCGGCCAGATAACAAGGCCTGTATACCAACGCCAGATTTCAACGAATCCAATCACAGTGTATGGAAAATCCCTCTAGATTAGACCCGATTGCACACACATCAATCAACAGTGCAACAAACCGCGCCGGAGAATTAACATACTGACAGACTATCACGGTTTATTAATGCGTATGTTCATAAGCAAGCCCTTTTGTGTTTACTCTGGTATCGTCAAGCTATAAAGAGCTTTATCAGGCGTAATTGAGTCAACATTTTAGTTTCTGAGAGCTATATCATTCAGACTTCAGTGCTATGAAATGAGAATGGGATATGGATACTGGCGATGCTGACGATACACTGTAATGATAATGGTAAAGCTAATACTATTGGTAGTAGCAGAGAGACGATGCTACGATTCATAACAACTTTACTCAATATAATAATCAAAGTTTTATCAATACCATCCTTAATGTTATCACCATTAAGGATATAATAATGATGAAAACAGTGACAATAGCAATTGATGATAAAACGTATTTCGTAAAAGGTCAAAATGTATAAGGAAAATATTTTTAAAAATATATTTAACAGGGTCACTGAGTCCAAAAGCTAATTTAAAACTCTTGAGAATTGCATAAGAACGTCTTGATTTTTTTTTCTTTCTTTTTTTTTTTTTTTTTTTGAAGAAAGGTCTTTTGTCAAGTAGCACGCAATATTACAATCAATCAGTTGCAAAAATTATCATGATAAGATTATTTCCTCGAGGATAAACGATCTATCTTCATCATTAAGAAACAAATCCCTTTGAAAAAAAATATATTTCTAAACACCAACATTTTAAATTACTGAATAAATAAAGCGAAATTAGACAAAAAAAAATATCTCTTTGCATATTATGTAAGAGGAAATAAGGAAAAGAAAAGAAAAAAAAACTAAAAAAAAAGTTAGAAAGGAAAAATGAATGAAATAAACGTACTTTGATTTTCGTGCATGTCTGTCTCTAAGGAAG